AAAAATTTGTTATTTCCGAAAAAGTATCATTTTATATCAAAATACATGTGTTAGAGCAATGCTATATATAAATCTAATATATATTCTAAGTCATGCTTTCGAGACATGAAAAACACAATTTGAATTTCGTCAGTCAGCCCAGTAGAATGGGAGATATAGAACTGTCCCCTTTTTTTGGTGCAGTGTACATGGAATATTGCATACAGCGATCTGTTTTTTCTTAAGAAACATTAGAAAATTGCACAAATTTAGCATTTTGCACATTAAGCACTATATATATTATAACTGCACTGCTGTTTATGAGGCTAGGATATAATTAGGTTTGTCACTTTGGTGCACATTTGGCAATTGCAGCACCATTAACAGAAAGTACTTGAAATAATAATAATGATCAAATACTTAAATAATTACATTTAAAGTTTATTTAACCTGGTTGGTTACATTTCCTCTTGCTGATATATTTTATATATGGGTTAATCAAGTTGCTAAATATAAAAGTTCAAATTCTAGTAAGAAAACAATATTGATATTAGAATTGAAGGAGTTCTATTGAATTCGCTTCTGCTGTAAGATATTTGTGTATTGGATGGACTATTATTTATAATAAGAGGCACTTTATATAAAAAGTGGCTTTTGTTTTAAAATTGCAAGCAATTTTGATACATTTAATGTGTTTGTTCTGAGTACCAGTAATTACCATATTAGCTAAAACAGTTTTACTATTCTGGCAAGTATATTGATGTATTTTTTAAAAAAATTCTTGAAATTTAGGAAAAATTTAATTATTTTATTCTAAATTTTGTATGTTGGAAACACACCCATTTTCACTTGAACATGCATTAGTTGTGATTAGGTATTATATATAAATTTTTCAGTATTTGGGGATTTAAGGCATGTGCGAATAATTATTTTTTTGAGTTGAGGTTTCAAAAATATGGATTGAAGTTTTAAACCATGCCACTGATGTAATCAATCATAAAATTATGTTTAAACAAAACAACAAAAGACAAATTTAATGATATATAAATTAGTTAAGAGATTAAGTGATATTCAAGAGTAATTTTTGTCTAAATTTAAATATAAAATTTTGTGCTATTTTTTTTTACATATTAAATTATATATGCCATAGAGCAATCTGTAGATTTTTTAAATAAGAAAATAGTGATGCTTTTAATGAATAATATTACATTCTGAAATTACTTTCAAAGATTTTGCTTGAAAAATATCATTTAGAAATTTAGTTTTTGAAAGTTTTCTTAGTCTTTTTTTTTTTTTTTTTGGATACGCTATGAAGTATTTTGGTTCTTGAGACATTAGTGTATTTTTATGCTGAAAATTATTTAAAATTTCTTATAAAATATGTCTTCTTGTTTAGTTTTCTTTTGATTCAATTTGAAACTCAAGCTTATTTAGTTAACGTTGTGCTGAATATGGAGTTAATCAAACATTACTGAAATTTTACAACTTTTGTAGTTAAATAGTGAATAAGAAAGCTTTTGAAGGGAAAAATATAATTTAATTATTAACAAAAAAGTGATTTGTTAAAAAAGTGAATTCTATTTCAGTATTTAACGTTAAGCTGTTATTTATATTATTGATATGAAATAAGAAGCTGTTAATCTGTTATTTATATTATTGATATGAAATAAGAAGAGACTTCGTCATTGAGAAATAAGATATTAATAAATAATTATGTAAGAGATGGTTTAATACTTTCTGCTTGTAAGGATTATGTTAATTTTATTGACAGTTAAATTTTAAGTTCCTTTCCTGTCGATTCTGAACTTCAACTTACTACTTCCGGCCAGAACGTAGTTTTAGAATCACGTCTGAATACATAATGAGGAAGAGTGGTATTTAACTGCGAATTTCTTCGGTCTTAGTGAGAGAGTTACCAGGCATCCTGTCTGCTCGCGTCCACCTTTTTAGGCTACTCTCTTTTAAGCTATTATTATGCTCGGCCATACATTAGGCCCTTGATAGCTTCGTAATCAATTACTGTTAAGGGGCCAACTCAGTTAGAATTTTGATAGCTTCAGCTATATCTTTTTAGATTAGTTTTAGTTTAATTCTTAGCCTCTTAAGTTCAAGCTCAAGTGTTGGCTTTTATTGTACACTTCAAGGAGTTCTGATAAATCTTATTTGAATAATAGATGGTTATTTACCCTTCCATCTTGTTGTTTCCTGTCACACAAACTCAAGCCGTTATTTGCTTATCAGTTCTTCAAATTCTTCACGTTCAACTGTAACTTAGCATTTACAAAGTGAGGATCATGCTAATTCTGATTTTATTTCAGTATTTTACTTTTTGATATGTAACTAAATCTCAGTTTTTTTTTTATTCATTAATGTTGAAATTACAAGTTGCATAAAACAGATTTGTTTATCCAAAAAGAAATGCAATTTAATTAAGGATTAATTAATATTTGCATGTAATATAAATAAGTAATAATTTTTTTTTGGGGGGGAGGGTAACGGAAAGTCTATCTATTTCTTTAACCATTATTTCAATGCAAGATGAATGATATATTCTGTTTTCTGAATATCTAACCTCAGCTTCAAATATGCTTTTTTCTGAATGAAACATGTTTTAGGCTGACATGTTAGATTTCTGTTGTAGATTTATTTCTTGCTATTTCATCTTGATTGATTTCTTTTACACTTTTGCATTTGTCAATATTTCAGTTTGTAAGAATTTGTCACTCACAAATCATTTATGTGCAATTCTTCCCGTATCATTTCAAATCAGAATGCTTGGGATTTGTCAGATTTTTATCACACAGTCCTTTGGTATTTTTGATGTTTGAATATAATTATCTTTATGACTTCAAAGTACTGTTAAACATATTTCTTCACAAGCAAGTTCAGTATCTTTTATGGGAATATTTTTAAAGATATTGTGAATTTTGATGCATTTTTTTTAATGAGTTCTCTGAAAACTTTTGAAAGAATTTTCTATGTATGATACTTTTTCAAACTCTTGTGATCATGTTTCTTACTCTTGTGTTTATAGGTTTGTCTGTGAGTATAATAGGTGGTTAAAGAAATGAGTTATGGGATGCACTGAAGTATGTGTAAGCATGATTTTAAGCAGCACTTTTGGACACATTAAATGTGTTAATTTAGATATCAAACAATAATATCAGCGTAATATTTGCAAATTTTCACAGGACCAGTTTCGATGGTTTTACTGAACCATCATTCTCAGCTGCCAGGTGCAAATGAATCAGAAGATATAGTGATTAGATAAACTAAGAATGGCTGGACAGGAGTTAAGCTACTGGCACCATCTATTGATGAAACAAGAACTAAAATATAATTTGCTTAAAGGCTGAAGGCAAAGATGGTTTGGAGTTAGGGTTGTTAACTAGAACAGAAAGAATTTTTTGAATGTAAAACGCCTCTAGAAAATCTAATTAACGAATGGAACAGGTTTTTTTTTTTTTTTTTTTTTTTTTTTTTTAAATAATTTTTGGCTGCAGAAAAATCGAAAGTATGATTTTCGAACCAACAATGGGGGGCAACAGAGAACTTCTGTGTTTCCTTTTTTTCTAACATATGCCTCATGTTCCTTAACACAAAATTTTGAGGCTGTCTTAGTTTGACCAATGTAAATTGTTTAGTCTCCGGGTATAAATTGCTATGTAATTTTTCTATGTATAGTATTTTTTATGTTTCAAATTTAAGCAGAATGCTCCATATTGTTTCAAATAATTTCAAATCATACAATTTCATTGAACATCTCAGTGCAAAATGTAGCTTCTTTATATTGCTTTTTATTTGCAAATTTATTCATACAGAATTTAGTCGCACGATTATATTTATAAACCACTGAAATATATCAGTTATAGTTTTTATTATTGTATTAGTATTTGTGCAAATGTTCTGTTTTATGCTAATGCATTAAGTAAGATTTATGTTATAATTTATTTTAGTGACTTATTTTCATGATAAATAAGAAAGAATTAAACTAAAAATTCTTCTATTTTTTCCCTATATGAAACAGGAAACATTTAGGAAAATTGTTAGAATGCTCTCTGTTATTTTGATAATAAACTAAATCTTTGTGTCAACTAAGTTGTTTTTAAAAGTAAAATGCATTTGTCTCGCAGATGATAATATTAACAACATTTTTAAATCTGAAAGCGACCATAATGGTGATACTATATCAGTTTCTTATAATATTCTTAATTGAATTTGTTTTAAAAATTTAGCCTCATCCCGAAGTAGCTTTGAGCACTGTAGAAAAATAAATGCACATTAAAGTGTAAAATTATCTAAATATTGATTATTCAATGGTTTACTTTTCAATATTGGAATGAAATGCATTTACCCAAAAATTATTAAGTTAATTCCTTTATCAATTTTAAATAGAAAAATAAGTTTGTGAATGTTTAATTTTAACTTACTGTTATTGTATAAACTATTGCTTAACCTATAATTAACATATTACTTAATCTATAACTTAATTTAATTTTATTGTATATCTTGCTATAATTGTAACTTACTATTATCATATGAATTTTTTTCTTTGATTAAATTAAGGAAACTAAACTTTTTTTAGATCTAATCATTTGCTGGTAGTATATCATGTTGGCTTAAATATAAGCTGCACATTTTATCTGAAGAATTTTGATTGTGAAAAATAAGGATTCATGTTATATCCACTACCTTACAAAAAGGATTACATTTTCTCATATGATATGCAGTTAAATGCAGTGTAAATCATTTAACACAAAACTGAGAGGGCTGAAATATTTTATCATGTTAAAAGAATTTTATGTTAAAGGATATTGGGAAAAAAAATATATATTCAACAAAATTAAGTTTATTAGAGTACATTTTATTTACACATATATATACATATATATGCATGTATTTAAAAAAAAAAATCAATGAAACAAAAACATCGACAAGAACTTAATTTAATACAAATTTTTAGTAAATTAAAGAACTTAATTTAATACAATTAAATAATTTCTTTGCATTGTATTTTTTAGCACCAAATTGTCAACAAATTGTTCAGTGTCGTCCACTTTGTTATTCATTGCACCATTGGAATGTTTTTAGATGACATGGGAACAGAGCTGCATTATTCAATTCGTTTTCATCATCGGAATCAGCATCGGTAATATTTTTTTAGCTTTGAACAAACTCCAAAATGTCTTTGTCTGCCATAATTGGAACTGTACACATATTATCATCATCTACTGCAACGAATTCTTCCGATAATGCAGTAGGACAGTCCAATAATACAGAAATTTTCTTAAGCATTTCATTAAGTGTCGGCTCAGTTTCAATATCCTCCTTCTCCATTTCTTTTGGTGTGAACCAAACTCAGTGATTTTTACACACAATGCGATGTACTCGTCACCGAATTCCAAAGCCAATTGAGGAGAGATGATATGCTTTTGTGTGGCATTTGTAGAGGCGGAGGGTGAAAGTAGCTTAGATAAACAAAATTAATTGTTAATTAATGTCACAGGCTATTCCAAGGGTATTTCAAAGCCAAGTTAGCCTCCTTTCTACGAAACATATGAAACTGCCTCTCTTTCATTTCATACTCCTCTTAAATCTCGATTGTGTGGCTGGTGCTTTCCATATTTTGTTCATTCCCAGAAGGAAAATCTTTTTGTGTTAAGCAATTTTCTTGTTTAAAAAAAAAAAAAAAAAAAAAAAATGCATGAAAATGCATAGAAGTTTGTTTCATGTTAACCGATGTTTTGTCTTATATGTTTTTGTGTTAAATGTATTTCACTGTATATGCTGATTTGAAATACATTTTGAAATAATGACAGTGAAATGATAGCATTTTAGAAACTGGCCATGTTGTTTAGATTAAGTTATGTTATCCAACAATAGCATTGTCAAAATGTTGGCACTCTTGATAACATACATTTTGGTTTTATATTTATTTTTGTAACAGATTTTTCAGTAATGATCTGTATAATATATGTGCTGTATTTATTTATTATAAAATAAAATACTGATATGTATCTATCTACTGGTAATTATATTTCCTTGAGTCTGTCAGTAAATGATTACTGGTGTTTTTAGCCCAAAAGAGATATTAGTCTCGCACTGTGAAAAAGCAACGATAGCTAGTGCCATCAAATTTGGAATAACATAATCCTCCACATGGACATGGGCATACGGACTCCAAAATTTTTAATTTGTATTATTATCTATTTCATATTTTGTAAGACGTTAACAAATTTTTGATTAAAAATTCAACAATTTTAAAGTAAGCAACACTGCAACATTTTTATCTGCAATGTACAAGATTGTCTGTCGGAAATTCTAAAGAAAAGTTTCTTTTAAATATTTTGTGAATTTGCTGTTGAATAGAATTTTATGTGATGTAAGCACCAAAATCATGATATTTAATAAGTAAAGTAAACCCACAAAATGTTAATAGTAATAAAAAGACAAAAAAAAGTTTTGTAAAGTCATCTTTGTAAGAAAACTGAACATTAGTATGACAGTCTGAGCAAAGACTGGAAAAAAAAATAAATTATATGCCAACATTTAACGCTGCATCCAGAATTCTAAATGTATCTGCTATGCTGTTTTTAAAGTTTTTATAATTTTGCTGTTGAATTGTATATGGCATAAGTATGAAGAAAATGATACTTAATCTTCTGAGTGCCATAACGGATCATGAAATGTTTTGCCACTTGGAGTATATTAGCTTATAATTTAAGACATTTTGCTTTCATATGTTCTTTAACAATATAAATGTCATCTTAATAAATGTAAGTTTATGAAAATAGAGACTTAAATAAGTAAATATATAAATTTACCTAATAAAGGGTGTTTAAGTACAGATCCTTCATGACAGATTCAAAAACCCATACCACTCAGAGGGTTAATAATAAAGCTAAAAAGACAAAAAAAAAAGGGGGGTGTTAATAGGAGTGAGTGTAGTAGCTAACTGGTAAACTGCGAGCTCAGCAAGAATGTAAAAAAAATCTTAGCAAATGTTCTGGGGGAAACCATTAAAATCTGAAATCTTTTAGATTTGTTTTACTATTTAATGTTTTCCCCCCTTCCCTCCAGCTTATCATTCAGGGATCATCTTTTCTCTCTCCTTTTTTTTTTTTTTTTTCTGGTCCTTCAAATTTCAGGATGCAGCTTATACTTGGGCCAGTTTGGTATTTATATGTTAACCTTAGATTGTATAGTTAGTTAGTTAGTTGTACTATCGCTATCTGTGCGCTATCACTCACACACACACACACACACACACACAAAAAAAAAAAAAAAAAAATCCAAACACGTTTTGCATATTTATATATGACCTTTGTTAATAGAGCTGAAGGATTCACCAGATCAACTTGTTAAAACAGTGAAAGCACTTTTGGAATGTATATCGACAATACATTTATTAAATTTCATGATCTGATAGATTTTGTTATGTTAAAATTTGGTATTTTTCTAGTTTTCCTCTGATGGAATGAAAAATTTTAGGATTATTTTGTATGCCGTTGTTTCAAATAACTGGACATGGACAATTTATTGCATTTATGAGAAATGGCTAATATCCATTTGTCATTTAGCCATCTTATCAACGAATAGTACATAGGTAGTGATGAAATTACACGTGTAAGGAAAGGGAAGTTCAATCTCAATTTTGATGGAAAACATCTCTTGGGGATAGAGCTGAGGATCTCCAATCCCTCTTCTCCTACCACCATATCTCTGGAGAAAACTTTTAAGTGCCTTGACATCACACAGACACTTATAAACATCCAAGCCTTTGGCATTTGAATGTGGGATCAACAATACAGCATCCAGTATTGCTAACTACTATAACAATTAGGTTGGCAGATTATTTTACTCATGGTTAATCATAATATCATCTTTAAAATGTATCATACAAATCCAGATTCTATTGCAGGTTTTCTTAATGTGAAATTATGTTTGATTGCTAAAAAAAGGTCTCTTGATTTTTGTCTAGATTTATTCATCATACTTTCTATGTAACTTGTATTCATAGATTTCTGTACAGAAATAGAATGTGATGCAAATCACGGTATTATGCGATTTATTGTACCATTTTGCGATTTATTGTACCATTTTGCATTTTGATTTATTGTACCATAAGAACAGTGATTACTAATCTGTAAGAAGTGTCATTACTTTATCATTGAGCAAAATGATGTAATGCCATTACGTTATCATTAGCAGTGCCTGTGTGTACCTTCTCATTCAGCAAAATAAGTTTCTAGATGGTATAATATATCCACTAGTTAATTGCCATCTTTGGTGATAAAAGATAATATTGCTGTATATAGCCCTATCACTAGATAGATCTATTGCATCCAGTGTTGTAAATTTTTTTGTTTTGTTTTTTGTTTTGCTATTCAGATTAACAGATCTTAATGTGTATTCATTATTAATCACGGTTTTTCATGCTTCCTAAATAAATCTACAAAAGATTATATCTGTTTGAAATTTAATATTTACTCAGTATTCCAATAAATTATAGAAGTTGCTTAAACTGATAAATTAATAAAAATATAAGCAAAAAATATTTGCCAGCCATTATCAGTCTTAAGATGTTACTAAAGTCACGTTGACAAAGCTGTTGACTGTATTATTTCAATAGCTCAACCATATAAATGTTTGGAAACATAGTTAAATATGAAAACAAACTTGGAATAGTTTGTTTTGTATAACATAAGAAAGTGTCCCTTATGTTAAAATAGCCATTTCTTTAATTTAAAGTATCATATTGTGAAGTATTGTTAAATGAAAAAAAGGATATGATTAATGTGTTTTATATAAATTCCGAATCTGGGATATGCTCTGACATTATTCACTTATTTTTACATCTCTGCATTATTAAGACAAAACTTCTAACAATGCTATCTTTTTTGCCCCTTTCTTTCTTTCTTTTTTTTTTTTTTTTCCTTTTTAGTTGAGGCCTGGATTTTCCAGTTTCTTACATTATTATGACATTCTTTAAAAATGAAATATTTAAAACTGAGGCATCAGATAATATGTCAATAGAGTTAGAACAAAGATGCTACAATTATTTATTTTGTGACTTTATTTCAAGTTAGTTTCTAGTTTTATAAATTAAAATTTATATTTTATATGTATATTTTTTAATATTTTATTAATTGAAATAACATAACTAGCCCTTTTAAGATCTCCTGCTTGGTAAAAAATAATGTGATACATAAAAAATAGTTAACACTATTCATGTTCGTTCTAATAGCTATACTTCTCTTTTCATAACCTTAATTTTTCTTTTTCCTCTGTTCTCTTTTTCTTCCTCCCTCCCTCCCTATCTTTAAGTAGCCATGTATTCTTACGTATGTCATAGCTATTTTACCAATTTTTTTTTTTTTTTTTTTTTTGGTTAAGGATAAATGTGGCTTTGTGGAGATTTTGTATATTTATGATTACATAATATTACATATAAAAATAATATTACATATTATTTTCAAACGAGAAAAAAATTCATAATTATAGGGATGCCTGCCAAGAGAGTATCTGTCCACAGCTGGTTAAATTTTAAATGCAGTGCAGTAGTTTTAAATTTTTTAGGTGAAGAATAATGGGTATAAAACATTATTACTTTGAAGACAAGTTTGAAAGATTTCATAGTATTTCTTTAACTTCCTCTTCTATAATTAGAAATTACAAATATACAATAACATTGTTTTTTTTTCCTTGTGATTTATTTAAGATAATTAAAAGGTTAACTGATTTAACTATATATCCCCCCCTCTTCCCGAAAAAAAAAAAGGTCATTGCATGTTGTTAAATGTTATGAGTGCTTTAAACTTGTCCTCCTAACTGAGTTTCCCTTCTTCATTTCTGTTGTCTGAATTTGCCTGCATGAAAGTAATGTATGGCAAAGGGGAAAAGTCTGGCAAAGAGGAATATTTGTGGATAGTAACATTTTTCTTTTGTTCCAGTTGTCAGCGAAGCTTATATACTCGTATATGAAATTAAATTAATATATTTCAGTCAACCAATTAAAATTCAAGGATAAAAAGCTAAGTTTGGTGTAGATTTATTGAAACTGGAATTATATGTGTATGTGTGTGTGTTAAGATTCGGCTATAACCTCTTTTATTTTTTATTTTGTTCATAATGTCTTTAATGCAATTTTTGATCGGTTCATAATGGTTTTGGAAATTATTTGATCACTGCTCTACTTCTAACCTTTACTTGAAAGGCATCCTTTATTGGAAGAAAACTTGCAAATGTAAAACTTAAAGCTAGTTGTTTCGGGGGTGGGGTGGCAACATGCAGATATTTTTGTTTATTCCTGAAGAAGAGTGATCTGTGTTTGATCCACTCAAAACACTGAAATTACTGAAAATATACGCTAAACTTATCCCCCCCTGAATTTTAAATGGTTGACTGAAATTAAAACCATGGATGCTTGGCAAATTAATCCATTACGTGAAGACATTTCTCTGTAGCTTGATAATTTTGATAATGCAATTTAAACTTATTTGGCAACTGTACTTCAGTTAAAAATATTCTATATTTTAATCGTATTAACTGATATATATTTTGACCATATGACTATATTATTCTATATTTTGATCACAATAAGAGTTGTATTTTCCATATACAAAGGGACAGTACATCAGCAGTTCAATAACAACATCCGAATGATAGCATTAATGTTGATCACATTAGGGAAAACTTTTT